GGGCCCCCGCCACCCCCAGCTGCAGGTAGCACCAGGTCAGCAGCGCCCGGCGCCCAAACCTGCTGGGACACGGCGCTGGGGGTACTGGGATGGGGGACATGGGGCACTGGGGGCACTGGGATGCTGATATGGGGCAATGGGACAGGGGTACGAGGCGCTGAGGGTGCTGGGATGGGTGATATGGGGTGCTGGAGATGCTGGGACAGGGGACATGGGGCGCTGGGGGCACTGGGATGGGGTGGTGGTGTGGTGGGGGCACTGGGATGGGGACATGGGTGTTGGGATGAGGGGGATATGGGGTGCTGGGAATTCTGGGACAGGCACATGGGGGCACTGGGATGGGGACACAAGGCATTTGGAACACTGGGACGGGGAATATGGGAATACTGGGGTGAGTGACTTGGGGACACTGGGACACCAGGGACCAGAGGGAAGGGAGGACATCCCTGTGCATACCCTTCCCACTTCCTCCCAGTTCCTCCCAGTACAACTCTGGGGTGTCTACGCACTTGTCGGAGAGGACCCCAAAGAGGCCAGAGCCCAGGAGGATCCCGGCCATGTAGATGGATTGGGCCACCTGCCTCAATGTCTTGGACTCGCACACCAGGTCCCACTGCCACCAGGAGAGGACATGGGGGTCAAGCTGGGTCCCCTCTGCCACCCGGGGGGGACTGTGGGACACCCCTCACCTCAGTAACGATGGTGTGAGCAAAGACACCATCATGGTAGGTCCAGCCATCGTGGCAAGGCTCAGTGGCTGCCCCGTTGGCCGTATCGTTGACCGTGCTGTTGACCTCCAGGAGGTGCCACTGGGGTTCCACATAGCGTCGGCAGCGCTGGGGACGGTGGTGGCCGTCAGAGGGGATGGAGATGAGGAGTGGCACATCCCCGGCACTGTCATTGGCCACAGGCCGAGGCCGGCAGTGGTGCTCAGGGACACCGGCGGTAAAATTCTGCAGAAGGTTGTGGCTGGCCAGCATCAGCAACGGAATGGCCAGGGCGGCCACGTAGGTCACCTGGAAACGTCCCATCCCGCCCAGGCGGGCCAGCAGCTCCACGAAGGTCATGGTGGGATAAGGAATGGAGCTGGGGGAGGTCCAGGTCAGCTGGAGGGTGGGAGGACGAGGAGAAGTTGAAGGATGGGCCAAGGGATGGGCTAGGAAGGGCCAAGGGATGATTTGGAGGAAGGGGTGAGGGATCGATCAAAGGATGGGTCAAGGGGTGGTTTGGATGGTCACTTAATGGGTAGATCCAAGGGGTGGATGAGGAAGGGCCAAGGGGTAGTTTGGACGGTCAGTGAATGGATGGATCCAATGATGGGCCAAGGGATGACCGAGGAACAGCCAAGGAAGGGCCCAGTGGTGGTTTGGAGGAAGGGGTGAGGGACAGCTGGAGGGACAGGCCAAGGGATGGCCAAGGGATACAGTAGAGGAAGGACCAAGGAGCAGCCAAGGGGAGGGCTGGAGGATGGTGGAGGGACGAGATCAGGATTGGCCGAGGGACAGGGCTGGGGACGACTGAGGGGTGGTGGGACCAAGCCCAGGAGAGGTGGAGGAAGAGCTGAGGATGAGGGAGGGACCAACGGCCAGACCGAGGGAGGGACGGAAAGGTCAAGGGAGGGACTGAGGGACAGATTGAGGAAGGAATCAAGGACCTTCTGTCTATCATCTGCTAATGAATCTATTAATCTATCAATCAGTCTATTTATTGGTCTATCAATAGGTCTATTGATCTATTGATTGATTGATCTATTGGTCTGTCTATAGGTCCATCAGTTGATCTGTCCATCAGTCCATCAATCTACTGATCTGTCAGTCTTGCTGTTGATCTAGTGATCTGTTGGTTGCACTATTGATCTGTCGGTGCCTTTATCAATTGATCAATCTGTCAATTGCGCTATCGATCTATCAGTATCGCTATCAATCTATTGGTCTCTATTGATCTATTGGGGGGTCTGTTGATCTATCGATCTATCAATCAAATTGATCAATCTGCCTATCAGTCTATCAATCTCTGATCTATCAATCACTGATTATTTATTTCTTGCTATCAGCTCTGCCCCTCACTGCTCTCCCTCCTCCTCCTTCCTCCCCCTGCGTTATTGATTGATCGATCAATTGATCAATCCATCCTCTCCCCCTTCTGTCCTACCAATCTTTCAGTAGCTTCATCCCGCCAACGATCCCTCACGATCAACCCATCCCTACCTGCTGTTTTGCTCCTCTTCCTCTCGCTGACGCTCTCTCGGTCTCCGACTCAGTCTCTCCAGCCACCCGCTGTCCGTCCCTCTGTCCCTCCCTCCCTCTGCCACGCCCACTCACTCTTTCTCCAGCCACCCTTCACCCCCCTCGGTGAATCAATCGATCAATCGATCAATGGATTTCTCTGTTGTCCATCCCAACCATCATCCAGCTGATGGATCTATCTGCCTGTCCCTCTGCCCATCTATTGACTCCTCACCCTATCACTTAATTGATTTATCTGCTGGTCGATCGATCTATGGGTCTATAGATCAATCTATTGATCTCCCCCTCTCTACTGATCAATCTAGAGGACTCCCTGTCAATCAATCCAGTGAGCTTTTTCTCTATTGATAAATTATTGATCTTTGGAGCTCTATTATCTATAATGTGTTGATCATCAATTAGTCCATAATCTCTCCCTTTATTAATTTATTGGTCTATATGTTTCTGTTGATCAATCTATTTTTCTACAGCATCTCTATTGATCCATCCGATGGTTCATGTATCTCTATTACCGATAAACTGATCTATAATCTATTCATTGATCAATCTATTGGTCTGTATTTTTCTACCAATGAATCTCTTGAACCGTGATCCACCGATCAATCTAACGATCTGTCTCTTTGTTGATCAATCTATTGAACTACTGACCAATTTATTGATTTATAATCTTTCTACTGATCAATGTATCAACCTTAATCTCTCTATTGACCAGTCTATCAGCCTATAATCTTTATATTGATTGATCTATTGACCTTTAATCTGTCTATTGATTGAGCTATTGGTCTCTCTCAATTCATCAACCTATCGACCTATAATGTAGTGATCAATATAGTGATCTTTATCTATCTGGTCTATCGGTCTCTATTGATCATTCTATTGATCTTAAATCTCATTACTGATCAATCTTTTGGCGTATAATCTTTCTATTGACCCATGTACTGATCTTAATCTCTCTGTTGATCAATCTCTTGACCTATAATCTTTCTATTGATCAGTCTTTCTCTCTATTGATCAACCTATTGAGCTTTAATCTCTCTCTTGACCACTCCATTGGCCTCTCGCTCTCCTGATCAACGCATTGATCTCTTTATCAATCCACTCACCTGTCTGTTGCTCCGACCTCTCCCAGCAACAAATCCCGCTCCCCGGAGCTACCACCCCTCAGCCCCGTGGCTGCCCATGGCCACGGCCCTGTCCCTGCCCCCGTCCTTGTCTCTGCTCATATTTAAAGCCACCCCCTGGTCCCGGTTAACGTTTGACGCTGCTGGGACCGGATCCTGCTATGGGTCAGAGGAGACAACCGTTGGGCAGAAATACCAGTGCCGGCCACGGCAGTCCCCAACCAGGGATGCCCAATGGCTACCCGGGGCCATCCCATCCTCTCCATCCTCTTCCTCGCTGAGGAAGCCCCCAGGTTCATGTGGTTGGGGACCCCAACCCGCTGGCTCCCCCCAGCTTGTTTTCACCATCGATGGTGGATGATTCATGGGACAAAGTTCCCAGGGGCCTTGAACCGAATCCCTGGGAGCCCCTTGGACCCCGGGCAGGAGGGCAGTGGTAGGCAGCGGAACGTAGGCAGGACAGGGCAGCGACCAGGAGACTTGCGGGGGGTGACTTGGGGTGGGGGAAGTAGAATGCCTGGGTCCTCACTGGCTGGAGCAGAGGGTGCGTTGGGTGGTTGGATGCTTGGGTCCTCCCTGAGCTCTTGAGTGTGACTCTTCCTGCCTCGCAGCCCTGGCTGCAGGCAGAGGGGAGGGTGGAGGGAGGGGGGGACACGCGATGCTGAGGCCACAGCACCCCACTGGGTCCCATATTTGCCTTTGGGGCGGGACGGTCAGGCTTGCGCGGGACCCCCCGTGGCCGTGGGAAAACAACCCCCTCCACCACCACCACCACCACCACTCCAGCCCTCCCCACCGCACGTGTTTCACACCCTTTCTGTTTATTGTTTTTATTCCAACACCCAAAAAAAAAAAAAATCCAACAACAAAACCATCCTGTGAAGCGGCAGTTTGGGGTGGGGGGGACACTGTTATGGAGAAGAGGATGCCAGGGTCCCCTCCTTGCCATGACAAGAGGGTGGCCATGGTCATCGTTGTCCCTTTCTTCTCGGCTTGCACCCACCCAAGGTCACTCCTGCTCTTTCATCCGTGGGGTACATTGATGTCTGGGGGCAGATTTTGGGGATTCCCCTGGAGCGGTCAGCACTAGCAGGGCCCCATGGAGCTGCTGGGCTAGGTGGGCTGAAGTGGGACCTGGAGATTTTGGGCTTCGTCCTTCTGGGGCTTGGTCCTGGGGTGAGAGCGAGGATGGGGTGCGGGTGTTTTTGGGGGGGCCAGGTGAGTATTCATGCTGCTGTTCCCCCTCCTTCCCCATTGACCTGTCCATCCGTCCATCCATCCCTCTTCATAGACATCCATCTGCCCATCCTTTCATCCATCCATTGCTGTACTGTTCTTCCTATCCATCCATCTGTCCATCCACCTATCTCTGTCCAATCCCATCCACTCCTGTCCATCAATCGCCATGCACACCCAATCCTCCATTCTTCCATCCATCCTTCCATCTCCATGTCCAACCTTCTTCCACCATTCCTCCCTGTGTCTGCCCATCCATCTGTCCCTTCCCACCATCCATCTGTCCCTCCCCTTGTCCTTCAGTCCCTCGAATCCCACCTGCCCTCCACCTCCTCCACAGTCTCAGGCAGTGCCATGTCCCGTGTCTCTGGCAGGAAGATGGCCACCAGCCCCGACACCACAGGGGCTGCCCCATAGATGATGAAGGGCAACGCAGGGAAGATCTCACCCACCATCTTCACCAAAGGGGCCGTAATGCTGCCCAAACGGGCCATGGTGTTGGCCAACCCCATGCCTGTCTGCCTGTGGGACACCGAGAGGCCTTGAGGGACCAGCCTGTGTGGTCACGGCCACCCCGTCACCTCCCGCAATCTCCACCTCCACTCCTTACCGAATAACGGTGGGGTAGAGCTCACCCGTGTAGAGGAAGACGCAGTTGAAGGACGCAGCCAAGCAACCCTTCCCAAAGACGGCCAGGGCGGTCCGGAGCATCCGCAGGTCTGTGGGGGTGAGGACAAGACATCTGGGACTCACTTTGGTGTCGCTACTTGGAATTGGGTTGAGTTGACAACGGGTGATGGAGAGAGGAGACCCCAAACACCAGGATTTCAGGCAAATCACCCATAAAAACCTAAAAATCACTCAGCCTGTGAGTTGTGTTAATGGGTTGAGCTTGTTTTGGCCCTCCTGGATTATGCCTTATGAGCTGGAGATGAAGGGGACACCACTGCCACCACCCCCAGCCCTCACCTCGTGGCACCAAGATGTTGGCCAAGATAGCCGAGCCGGCCAGGATAAGGGCAATGGACTGGGTGAAGCGTCGCCCCACGAAGGTGATGGTGAGGATGGAGACCAGCTTGGCTGGGAAGTCCACAGCCCCAAAGACGAGTTGGATCACGTAGATATTGAAGTCAAAGTTTTGCAGATCCATGGCCAGCCCATAGTAGGCGAAGCTGGTGGAGAACCTAGGCCAAGAAGAGGTGAAAGGGAGCAAATGTCACGGGTGGGGAGTTGTGGGGTGAGATGTGGGGGGGGGAGGGCACACCCCATCCCCTGGCCTGTAGGATCCAGCCAGGAGATCTGTGTCCCTTCCTGGAGCACATGTGGGTCAAGAGACCTTTGTTGACCAAGTCCTACACCGTGACTCAGTTTCCCTTTCCAATAAGAACCCAGGTAAGGTGAGTGTTTGGGGATGGGTGGACAGATGGACAACCACCCACTGATGTCCTCCACTGCTGGGCATAC